TTACTAATACTATTTAATTTATTATTATTATATATATATATATATATATATATATATATATATATATATTTTGACCAGTATATATTTTGGATTTTACAAAATAATTTTATTATTGTACACTGTCTTCCATTTGGCCATGCTACAATTCTATTTTTAATTTTGTTCCATTTATCATTTGTTTTGTATTAGGTAAAATAAAACATCAATAAAAATATGTATATAAAAAATAATATTTGCAAGTTGTATGTTTATCAAGTATTGTCTTATAATTGCAAATTATTCTTTATATTCCATGACATGTAAAGTGATACAAAACAAAATAACTAACACTTAACTGGCCCACACTCTGCAAATCAGATGATTTTTTAACCTAAATACACAGGTCTGTTTTTAACCATTGAAGACAGATCCACTTCACTGAAAGCAACAAAATTTTACAGTTACTTTTTTTTTTAATGTGACCTGCCAAATCTTTTTTGACCATGCGTGTTTTTATCATCATGCACATAGTTCCACAGATATGCCAATAGAAAATGTAAAAATACTTACACCAATAGGAGCAACTTTTTCTACAAACTTCAGCAACTGACTTTTGGCTGTTCCAGGATCACCAAGTAATAACAAATTAATGTCACCACGACGGGTTAATCCATCTGGTAACCTAGTTAAAAGTTATTGGGACATTACTTAAACATTACATTTTTATGATTTAAATAAAATTTATTAATCAATTATTTTAATAGGCAAGTTACAAAACATAAATAACCAATACTCATAATAAACACAAGACAAAAAAAAGGCTACAATATGTATGTGAATAGAGAAAAGTTGCAACAAAATTTCCACATTTTCATGAAAACTCCTAACCTGGTTTTTTAACCTTACCACAAAGTTTTGTTTTTACTTTAATGACATCATCTATTATGAAATTGATAGCAGTTGTATAGAATAAATGCTATCAAGTGCACTAGCAAAAACATTTTAAATTTACTTGGTAAAACAGATCTTAAACACAGCCATTTCCGAACTCTCATACTGAGCGAGATATGTTAATGATGTTTTCTTTATTTAAAAAAAAGATATCCAGAGAAAGTTGCTGAAACAATATTTGACACATCCACACAAAAAAATTACAAAGCTTGAAGAAAACATCTAACTTTATCATCGCTACAATTCCTTATGTTGAGCACATCAATAAAAACATAACTGGATTATGGAAATTATTCATGAAAAAATATAACAGACTAAAATATCATAATCATACAAAAGCCAAGTATTAAAATCAAGAACCTTATCACTAACAATTACCTCACTGAAATTAAAAACAATGGAAACATCTACAAAATGTAAACACAATTATATTGGAGAAGTCAATAGAGAAATGAACCTTAAAATTAAGGTTTTTGTTTTGAATTTTGTGCAAAGCTACACAATGGTTATCTGCACTAGCTGTTCCTAATTTAGCAGTGAAAGACTAGAGTTAAGTCAGCTAGTCATCGTCATCCACAGCCAACTCTTGGACTACTCTTTTACCAATGGGATTGACCATAACATTATAATGCCCCAAAAGCTTATGGATTATGGAAATTGATGAAACAGAAAGCATGTTTGGTGGGATGGGGATTCGAACCTACGACCCTTAGATTGCAAGACAAGCACTCTAATTAACCACCTGGCCATGCCAGGCCCAAACTTAAGGAACATCTCAATGAAACTAAACATATTATCATTGAAAACAATGTCAAAATCAATCGAAAAGTACCAGACTTCAACAAAGGAAAAATTACTGGAGCACTACTGATAAAGTCATAAAATCCAAAGCTGAATAAATATCCAGAAACCTATCTTTATCTATATTAATATTTTATACACCTCATTTTACTAAAAAAGCTAACTTAACACCATCTGCAAACTTGTCCTCACAATCACGAGTCTGTAATGTTCCTGCAAATTCAATTGTATTTTTGAATGCAATCTTACCTGATGATGACTCTGTACTATGGGTTGAAACATTGTAATTATTTTTTGACAGATTGTTTACGCAGAGTATTCATGATGAAACTTTGTAGAATGGACAGCAACTGTCTGAAAACAAAAAGGCGGAAGACTTTGAAAATGTCGTCCTCTACACTTGTGTGTATAACAGGCAGTTGCCGTCCATTCTACAAAGTTTCATCATTGTAATTATTAAAATAAGAACTTGCTTATTGTAAATGCTGCTTATATTTATATTAAATTAATTACTTGGACTTTATTTTTAAATGAAAAAAGTTTATGTATTCCTCACAATCAAATCACATGTTCTTTAGCTATAATTAACATTTAGCACAAAAAAAAATATTATTTTTAAGACAACTTTTTACCTTTAAATTCATCAAAGCTCATAACACTTACTTTTTTCTTGAACCTCCAAAAAGAAGACAAGCTATTGCCTTCTTTGTGTCAAGGCAACCATATATAGATGGAGCAATACTTTTTGTAATTCTTTCATATACATTCTTGCTTTGAGCAAGATTTCTGAAACTTTCTTCTTCTTCACATGTAAAAGAAGTATTATTTGTTCTTCCTGATCCTTCTCGATCCACAGTAATAGATACAATTCGAATATATGGTCTACAAATACCCACACTGGCTTTCTCTTTATTCCTTTTCTGTATCGAAAATTTTTATTACTTTCAATTAGACTCAAAAGTTTAAAATAATAATCAATACTTGGTAAATTACCAACCCAGTATAGTCAACACATACAAATATTTGAAGTTTCACTTTTTAACTAGTGAATTTCAAAGCAAAAAATGCCCATAGCTTTTAATGGAATAATGTATACTTAGGATGTTTATCGCAATTAAGCTATATAGACATTAAGTGCCAGAATAATTAAACATAAACTTTACAAGAAATAAAATCATCTGAGCTTAAGTATAGAAAGTGATATAGTCATAGTGTCAGTGAAGTATAGCATCACAGTTCTAAAATGTGAAGTTAAAAGTATAAAGTGGTGTCTATTTGATTTTAAGGGTACTAAAAGTACAAAATTCTGTAACTGATAACTAACAAGTCTACACTGTAACCATTCAAGTCCCTTGCAAGTTTACAGGTGTATTTTATACTCAGTTTATTGATGAATTCAGTACATCATACACATGAAAGTTAACTGCACTTGCAGTAATAAAACTCAATTTAATAACAGCCATCAGAACAAAGTATTTTTTAATCAGATTTTCAAAAATTGTGTTTTAGGTTCAATAAAAATATTTTGAATAATACAATACCTAAAGAATTATGTCCACCACAATATACCAGTATTGTCAAGTATTAATATCATTCTATATTGTAGTATTGAATAACTGCATTTATATAATTGAAAACCAAACTAACAAAATTAATTATACTGTATCACAAAATCTTAAAAATTACATTTAAACAAACTTGTGCTTAATTCTATGTCTCTTTCACTACCCTTTTTTCTAGAACACAAAGATTGATTGCAGATATCTAAAGTTCCATAATAGGTAACTTTACTTTGAAGTTTACAAAGAGGATAATATATACAAAATATATGAAATAAAATGGTTGAATTTAGAGCACTGGTAGGAATAGAAGATCTTAATATAATAGGAATCTCAAATCACAGTATCTCAAATTCAAAAATTTCACCTATTCTTTCATAGTACATAGGCAAGCTCATACTTCATTATTAAAATCTGGTTATTGACAATTTTCATTTTATTCATCCATATAATATGAATACGCATGTGTATGAGTTTGAAATGGATGGACATTAATGGGACTACACTTTACTTTGCCTTGACACAGGTGTTACACAGTATCAGATTACCAGGTAAAGCAATAAATAACAAACATTTTGTTAACATTATTTCAATGAGTAGGCAGTGTGGAGCAAAAGGTCGATTTACAGGTATGACTTATAATTGTTTTTCATTAATTATGAACTAAATAATTGAACTTGCATTGTAAATCTACTAATTTGTGACTGTGGAATCAATGATGTGTGAATTTTCTTGTTATTTTAATTATTTAAAAAAAATCACTGAAACTCCCCACTAGTTGGGATACTCATAAAAAAAATTGGGACGAAGTGGTTTTATTTGTAAAATGTGAGTTACAGTCTATTCAAGTTAGATATCAAAACTAATAGCAACAATGTTGAATCTGTTTGGGTTTCTGACAATGGTTAGAAGGGGAAAAGGCCTTTAGTTGGAATTTGTTAAACCACCAGATAAAACTAATAAAAACTGATATCAATATTTCAGTTGTTAATAAGGTTTTAAGTGTGGAACATTTTAATTTCAAATGTATGGACTGGGAAATGTTAGAGTCAAATCATAAGGGAGACAGATTTCTCAAAATTCTTCAGGATGGTTTTCTACAACAATTGGCTAGGGAAGCTACCAGGAACAATGCTATGTTGATTTTGATGTTAACTTCAAATAAAGAAATGGTTGATATGGTAGAGGATGGGAAACATCTAGGTGAAAGTAATCATGCTATTTTACATTTGATATTTTGCTGCATATGGAGATAAGAAATAATGAGAGTAATTCCACAATATTTGAGACAAGAATTATTTGCTGTGAATTAGGCTACTGAATTAGTTGGAGATACTGGTCAAATTTGAAAAAAAATTTCAGAATAAATTAGATATCCAAGTTAGTCATATTCCTTACTAGAACAAAATACCCACACTCTGCTGCAGGATTCCAAGGTCCTCAGGAGTCTTAATGTACCAGTCAAGCATCTCCATTACTTTAATTACTTCTATAGCTATACCAATTGTTTAATTGATTTTTTGTTGCCATTTCCTAAACTTAATTCAATTCAACCCTTTATAAAAGCAAATAGTTTTAACTTGTCTTCACAGATTAGTTTTTTTTCTTCCTGTGTTTTTACTTTAATTACTTTCATTCTCTAAATTCTCCAATATTCTCCATTTCATATTTTTCTTCCCATTGTTTCCTTCCATTTCCCAAACTTAGTTCAATTCAATTTATTTTTAATTCTCAAATTTGTAATTTTTCATCCCACGTTTGTGTTGAAAAAAAAAGAGTATTTGGCAAAAAACCTCCATGCATTGTTTATTCAGTAAGTGAGAATTAGAAAAAAATGATACATTTCTATAGACATTCAGGAAGTAGAATTATGGGGTTTAATGGATATAGAGCAAAACTATAGAGCAAAAATTTGGCCAAAATATTGTCCAAAAGCACTTCCCCAGAATCCCCTTAGAATGCATGCAAATTTCAGGTCTCTAGGTTCTTTCCATTTGGAACTATGGCAGTTACACACGCAGGCTCTTTTATTATTATTATTATTATAAATAGATAAAAAGTCCAGTAGCAAGTAACAGTGCATTGCTTTATCAAGGATATAAAAGATAAAATTAAAGAAAAGCATTATAAATTGAGAAGTTTAAAATTATTGCAATGATGGGAGATCTGGAAATAGTTGGTCAATTGGGAAATTTGGGGGGAAAAAACTATATTATAAAAGTTTCACTTAAAAATATAAAAAATAGCATGAATAGTAAGGATTTATTCAAATACACTAAGTGTAAGCAAAATGTTAGGATGAAAGTAGGGCCTTTGAGGGGTGACACAGGAAGGCTAATATTTGATGGTTATGGGATGGCTGGATTATTAAAATCTCCTTCAGTTTTATAAAATATTCCTCAAACTTAACAGTTACTAGACAGAAACAAAGTTGAAGATCATGATAAATAACATTTATTCCAAGTCTGCTAAGAAAAAATTGGAAGTTTAAGTATTGATAAAGCACTTGGACCTGATAACATTAATCCAATAGTTTTGAAAGATGTTAAGGATTGGTTTTATGAGCCACTTGCTATTATTTTTTCAAAGTCCTTGAATAGTAGGCAGGTACCAGAATACTGGAAGCTGTCTAATGTTACTCCTATTTACAAGTGATGAAAATTGTCTCAATAATTATAGGCCTATTAGTCTTACACCAATGGTGGTAAAAATGTTTAAAAGTCTGATGAAATATGCTTTGCAGAGTCATTTAATAAAGTTTAAAATTCTTTTGGATAATCAGCATGGTTTCAGAAAATTTTGCCTGACTTATCTTTTTATACTCTTTAAGAAATTACTGCTTATGTAGATGAGGGTATGGGTGTAGATTTGGTGTATCTGGATTTTCAGAAAGCATTTGACAAGGTACCACATAAAAGGCTTGTTAAAAGTTATCTGAGCGAGAGATCAATTGGGTAATTGGATAGAAAATTGGCTTAACCCTTTCTATACAGGTTGCAGGAGAAAAGCCATGTCATCTCGTTTATTGACTCACGTCCAAAATTTTATTGAACTACTATTTCATGAATTTATGTCAATAAGTTTGGTACCAAACTGTATTATATTTCAAATTTATAACTATACATTACCTAATTTGTTAATTTAAAAGTAAATATTAAAAATCCAGATAAACATCAATTTTTGTGTATCACATAGTATGTTGAATTACAGATATTGACAAGCGAGAATATAAAATAAGAAGGTCTTATCTTTTCTATTTGCCAAGATATTGATCACGTAATAAATCAAACATATTGGCACTCCAC